CTCTCACTTCCGCACTTCTCGTACTTATAGTACGCACCGTACGTAGTACGCGTAGTGTGCGTACTTCAAGCGTGCAGACCCTGAATTGGGACACAGCCTAAGTACGCACGCAGGAGCTTTCTGATTGGTTCTCACCTCCGTCGCTCTATTGATGATGTCCTTCCTGTTCACCCTAAGAACACGTGTAGGGTGTACATTTTCGAGCTGAGGGGAATAACGGCAACAAAACATCGCCGTTCAGACACCTTCGTATTTTTTTTTCTGTGGAAGGCTTTACCGAGTAAGAGGGCAACATGGTGAAGACACGGTACAAGGGGAAAAGCTCAATAAACCCCTCAACATCCAGCAGCAACCCCGGTGAGCTAACTCTCCCATTAGCCAAACTGCTTGTTTACAGCTAATGCTAATTGTTGCTAGTCATTGTCAGAGAAAGTCATATTTGCGTTATTTTAGATAATAATAGCGTTGCGTATCAAAATAAGACTTCACAGCGGTGTGATGAATCTAAAACTTAACTTACACTGTTGCGTACTGTAGGAAGATATAGCCTTTTAAGTTTTGTCGTGTCAAACACCTGTTTTATGAAAGTTAAACATATTTACGGTAAAATCTGAGCTGCAATCTTGGGGTGGAAAATGATGCTCCTTTAAAAATGAACGTGTACGGTGTGTCTGGTTAGTAGTCATAACTAGCAATGCAGTATATCTTGATAGGAATTATAAAGTTACGTGTTTGTATAAGCTGTTAACAGCACTATACCGGCACCTTACACTGAAACCCAGTCATTTGTTCAGCACATTTAAAACTGTTTAAGGTAATAAAACATGAATGTTGTTGCACGGTCCTTAAAAAAAAAATCAGAGGCCTTAGTTGATTATAAATATGGTATTTCCCTTGCAATAAATTGACTAACAAGTAAGTGCATTGTAATAACATGTGGGTTTCGTTAATGAGCCGTTAAAGTAAACATAAATTTATTCGACAGATCGAGCCAAAGGTGCTGGTGGAAACAACATGAGGGACCGAGCCACTATCAAGCGCCTGAATATGTACAGACAAAAACAAAGATGGTAAGCAAATATTTTTCTTTTCTTTTTTCTTTTCTTTTTTATTGATATAGTTTACTGTTACAATGTAACGTAAGTGATGTGTCAAGAATGAAAGAGATCTTTTGTCCACAGTGATAGCCGTGGAAAAGTCGTCAAACCTTTACAGTACCAGTCCACAGTAGCTCCGGGAACTGTTGCCAGAGTTGAACCTAACATCAAATGGTTTGGTGAGAAATGTCTTTACTGTTGTGTATGTTATAGTGTATACTGTAAATTAATTAAATTGGAGGTAATACCATTTGCTCATATGTTGCTCTTGTTTGAAATATTGTCAGTTGAATTTGTAAAAATAAAATGTTCACTACAATAATACCATATCATTTTTATTCTCATTATATGACTAACCCATATTTCTATACTCTGTATTTAAGCAAATACCCGTGTGATCAAGCAGTCATCCCTCCAGAAATTCCAGGAGGAGATGGAGGCAGTAAAGAAGGATCCATATCGTGTGGTGATGAGACAAAGCAAATTGCCTATGTCCCTTTTGCACGATAGAGTCAAAGCCCATGTGAGTATAAAGGCTTTAAAGCTTATTCTTGTAAGATTTTTATTATATATGTATGTATTGTTATGAACAGTCACCACCAACACACTGAAATTAAAATGAAGCAGTTGAGATGTGTTTGAAGTGCAGAGGTGACATCTTAATTCAAGGAGTTTAACAAAAAATATTGAATTTGTTGTTTAGGAATTACATGTATTTTTATCCATAGTCTTCCATTTTCAGAGGCTCAGAAAAAAAAAAAAAACTGGATGTGAAACGCTGTCAGGTATAGACCTAACTGTATAATTAAAATGCAAACCTTGGGATCTAAACATGATAACAAAATAATAGCAAAACAACAAATTGTGCCAACAAGGGTAAAAAACAAAAACAAGAGATTTAAAAGAGGACACACAGTTTGCTTGCCTGAGATGTCTAACCATGGCATTACTGGGCGTAGGGACCCAGACAACAAAGGCCAACTACTGCAGTAAGAAAACACAAGTAAGCCTTCCAGGATCTCTAACAGCAGCACATGGGGAGTTAGGTGGTTCCAGCTGTGGTGTGGAGGCGAGTCTTTATCGGCTACCTCAGAATTTTAATAAAGGTCAGCAAGGATGGATGTAATATATCACTTTTCCAAGTATGTGTTAATAGCCTGGCAAAATAAAGTGCATTGCATTGATAACAGTATAATGGCAGCATTTATTAAGCTTGCTTTCTCAGAGTTTTACAGGCAACTTCTTAATTGCCTCTTGGGGGTGAATAAAGTCTTCTGATTCTGATTCTGAAACTGCAGATGCCAGGGAGTGTACTTCATCTGACACTGCTTTCTATCTCCGTGTGGATGGAGTGTACCTGAAAGTCGGCACAGAGCCTGTGACAAAATTAATGTTTAAAGAACAAGGCCGCAGAAGAAAGGAATAACTTAATATTAGATAGCTGTCTTTGCAAGTAAGGCTGTTTGGTCAGCTGAGAATGTAAGGAGTCTAAAAATAACTTAGACATTGCATTATTTCAAACATTAATAAGCAACGCACCCTCAATAAAAGAGAAACTAATAATGTGGTTCGTGCTGAGGCTAAAAGGATAATTTTCCATGGATTTGAAGTAAATCAGCTGCAGGTATCCTATTTTTATTTCAGCGAAGCAGGCAGACATCAAAGGTAAAGGGCTACATGTGGGGGGGGGGAATCAACCGAAACTGCTCTAGCAAACACACTTCTTCACGTTACTTTATAAGATGTTGTGGTCTGGTGTATCTTCTGATACAGTAGCTGACTGGGGCAGTCGTAGTGATGCATAGTGAAAACGGGATTTAACCCCCCCCAAAAAAAATAAATAAATAAATAAAAATAAAATCAAAGATTATGTTATTAATAAATAAAGTATGTGATTTAAAGTGTTCTGTAAGCTTAAATATAAATAGCTCTTTGCACATGGGTCTAAACTTGCTTACGACAGTGGGATTAAGAGAGTGATTCTTTTAAAGGGGTTAACAAGTGGCATGTTTAAAATTTGAGTAGGAAATAACCAGTAAGTGGAATGCGTTTAATAATGACTAAAGTAAGTAATGCAGATAAAGATCCTAGCTATTTTCGTCTGTGTGAGTAAACTCTTTCTTGAGGCTTCATGAGGTGAGACGAATAAGAGGACTCACTTTAATCCTCATACAATTTTTCCTCTGCCCTACTGTGAACCTGAATGTACTGGCTTACGCTAGGCATGAGAGAGCTGCCTTCATCCAGACTTGGATTTTTTTTCCCTTCAACATAACCAACACAGTTCTAAATAAAATCCAGTTCTTGTTCTTGTGCCATGTGCTATAGTCCCTCATGAAGTTGAGGCATTTCTTAGAGTGTGAAAGAGTTCAAAATAATCTCTTAATTCATCACCGGGTTACCAGAAGATGACCTTTTATTATTTTTATTAATATTACAATTATGTAACTAAATGGCACAGAAGTGCTAGTAAAGTATGAAAGTGCTCTGTAATCTTAATGTATGATCACTGAATGACCAGTGGAATGATATTGCTCCAAAAGGCAGACAAATTAAGCAAGAGCCAGTGGTTCAGTCAGAAAAATGTGTTTTCAAACAACCAGAGTGCTTTGTAGGACCTCTTGGCAGATAGTTGAGGTGACCTGAGGCTGTAAACAGTGTTGTTTCTGACTAACCTGCTCCTCCACCCCTCGTGGCAGTTTTGCAATAGAGGTATGGCGTGTGTTTTAAGATCGCTGGAACACTTAATCAGCACTGGCATAGTCTTTGCTGTTTCACTGGCTTTGTCGCATATTTGGGTGTTCTGTTTAATATATTCATTTATTGTGTGTTTCTGACTGAAACTGTTGGAGAGCTGTTTGTGACTGTATCACAAACTGTGTTTTAACATTGGAAAAAAAAGAGCTTTATGTTTCCTCTCTGCTTAAATACAGCATGATAATGTTAAATTTAAATGGATTTTGCAGTCCAGCTTCAACATCTGGATCCTTTAAGTGTGTTGTTCATGCTGGAAAGAACAAAGTCCAAACTTAATAAAACCACAGTCATAATTCTATCTGATTTTGTAAATAAATGATATAAGGTCCTGCTGTAAGTATATTGCTGGCAGAGCTATTCACTGTTAATATAAAAACTTTTTTTTTTTTTATCACAAAATGTTCTATCTTTCTATAATTGCAGAACTCTAAGGTTCACATTCTAGACACGGAGGGTTTTGAGAACACTTTTGGACCTAAGGCTCAAAGGAAGAGGCCCAGTCTTGTTGTGGGCGATGTCAAGGACCTTGTAGAGCAAGCTGAGGCCTCAGCCCTAAGTTATAATGCAGAAAATGACAAAGACCTGGTTACCGAGGACACAGGGGTCCGGTAAGAATTTTCTTTTTGTTTCTTCTTTCTTTGTTTTTTTTTTGTTTTTAAATGCATTTTTTTCACATTTAAAGTGTCGTTAAATCCCTGCTACTTTTTTATTCACTAAAGGGCGGAAGCACGTGAGGAGATTTTCAAAAAGGGTCAGTCCAAGAGAATCTGGGGAGAACTTTACAAGGTATCGTCTCCACCTTGTGTAGTATGTTAGTGCAGTAAAGTGTTGTGTGGTCATTCTCGAGTCCTCTTTTATTTTTACAGGTGATTGACTCATCTGATGTCATCATCCAAGTGCTGGATGCCCGAGATCCTATGGGAACACGGTCTAAGAGCATTGAAACGTATCTAAAGAAAGAGAAATCCTGGAAACATCTGATCTTTGTTCTAAACAAGTGTGACCTTGTGCCCACCTGGGTCACGGTAAGATATTTACAGCACACCCCCCCGGTTTCCTGTATGACTGGTTGTAGTTGCCTTTTCTTAGTATTAAACTTGGTCTCTGCTCATTGTTAAACCAGAAACGTTGGGTGGCTGTTCTGTCTCAAGAATATCCCACTTTGGCTTTCCACGCCAGCCTCACAAACTCATTTGGTAAGGGCTCTCTCATCCAGCTGCTCAGGCAGTTTGGCAAGGTAAGCAAATGCTTTTTGTTCGAAATGCAAAAACTTTCACAAATAAAATATTTGAGTTGTTTTATTATATAGAGTTTTAAAAAAATACATTTATCATCATGTTGTTGTGCAAGACAATAGATTTGTCAAGTGGTAATAATTTGTAACAACTTAATGTGTATATAGCTGTGAACACAATATCTGATGCTTAATTAGGTTAGCTGGGACACTGTAGGCATTTAATGAGCAGTATTTAATGTGTTAATGTTAGAATCACAAACATTGGAATAAACATATCTGTTTGATGACAAGCTACATTGGTTTGTCAATTGTGCATTATTATTGTTTTGCATCATATTTCCTTTCGATTTTTAAACACTTTACTAAACTGTAAAATATGCTTTTAGGTCTTTAAGTAGTTTACATTGACACAATATATTAATTTAACTGCAGTAAACCACCACAGTGGAGTTTCAATCAAGCTGTAACTGAAGATTGACAGGCTGTCTGCTGTAAATCAAGGGGTTTACCAAAAGTATTGCATTAACTTTTTATAAATCACATCCATATACAGTCCCCCATTTTCAGAGGCTCAAATGTAATTGGCTAATTGACTGAAAGGTAGTTTCATGGTTAGGTGAGTCCCGTTCCTTTGTTATTCCATGACAAATTAAACAGATAACTTATTCGGATCATTTACAACAAGGTACAAACCACTGGTTACAAACATTAAAAGGGCAGGTTAGACCATATCAGAGGACATGTGAAAGAGTCTCCGCAGTTCTGGAAAACAAATCACTGAAAACCGAGATGAACTTTTATCAGAGTAATGGATAGAGAAAAGTATAGAGAAGGAGAGAAACAGCTCATGAGCTGATTAATCCCACATTATATTTCAAACATAGTAGAAGCAATGTCATAACATAGACATGTATGGCTGCCAGTGGACATGGACCACTTGTGTTTACTGATGATGTGACTGCTGATATAAGTAGCAAAATGAATTTGTACTTCACTGCACAAATGGATAATGATCCAAAACATACTGCAAAAGAAACCCAAGAGATTCTCAAGGCAAATCAATGGAATATTCTTCACTGGCCAAGACAGTCACCTGATCTCAACCCAACATGAACATGCTTTTGAGTTACAGAAGACAAAACTGAAGCTGTTTTTCAAAAGAGGGCAGCAGCTGAAGACAGCTGCAGTAAAGGCCTGGTACACCATGTGAAAGAAGGACATGCAGCATCTGGTGATGTCCATTAGTTCTAGACTTCAGGCTGTCTTTCTGAGGTTACTTTTCAGCTTCTGAAAATGGGGAACTGTGTATAAAAATGGCAGTAATTCCTGAACATTTAACTCGGTGCATTTTTGTTAAACCACTTGAATTAAAGCTGAAATGAAGCACATTTTTTTTATCCACTGTGGTGGTCTACAGAGGCTAAACTACAAAGAATGCTTCATTGTCCCAAAACTGTGCTGTGTTCCACACAGTTACAACCATAACATTAGATTATGTATTGCCCTGACTGCCCTGGCAGCATACTTGAGAAAAGCTTGAAAGAGACAACAGAGGAATTACATCCCTTCAAAGAGGACAGACAAAGACTTCCTGACTTTATTTTTCCCTCACACAGCTCCACACAGACAAAAAACAAATAAGTGTGGGTTTCATTGGATATCCAAATGTTGGAAAAAGCTCGATCATCAACACTCTGAGGTCAAAGAAGGTTTGCAATGTTGCACCCCTCGCTGGAGAAACGAAGGTAAAATCAATATATCGTATTAACTATACAGTAGTTAGGTTCACATGATTATATTTTGGGTTTAGTCAAAGTCCCGTTGCTGCTTAATGTTGATGGCTTCAGTAACAGAAGCAGTCTACCCTCTGTTTTTAAAAATATAACTGAAAAACTAAGTGGAGAGTAAAAGAGTAAAAACAACCATTTTTTATCCTTCATTTCCTCTCTCTTCATCTGTTTATCCTTTTTGGAAACAAATGAAGGGTTGAAACCTTGGCGTACAAAGACCGGTCAAGGGGAAAGTCAGGGGAAAATGGCTTTACCTTTAGAGCCAAAATTGTAAGCTTGGACTATAACTGAGCAGTTTTTCTGCACACCTATCCAGTGACTCTCATAGGCCTGTGGCCAGCAGTGCTTTATTTCCCACCTTGTGTTTTATTCTCAGCACATACTCAGCAATTACGAAAGCCAAACAAGGTTATGATCCGTAGCACTTTCATAGATCACGTACATTTTGCTTTCCCACTTATAATTCTTTCAGCAGTTTTTCCTTGTTTTAAGATTTTATATCAAATGATACCAACAAGGTGAAATGTGTTTCTCATCGTTTGTGAAACAGAATTTCATGGACCACACATACAGCGTTAATCTTTCTCTCTCTTTTGTTTAAGGTGTGGCAGTACATCACTTTGATGAGGCGCATCTTCCTCATTGACTGCCCTGGTGTTGTCTACCCCTCAGAAGACAGTGAATCTGATATTGTTTTGAAAGGAGTAGTAAGTCTGTTTTTTAAAGTTTATTCCAATTGATTTTTTTTTTAATTAATTAATTTGATTGAGCTTTTTTAATGTCTGCCACTGCAGTATAATAAGAAGGGTGAATTTATTTGGACTTCCCATAAAACTAGGAAAAACAATAACATCTGAAAATCTAAGCACAGATCCGAGAAATGGTGTCCTGGTAACTTAGTATAATCAACCGAACTGTTAATGTTGTATTTTTAACAGTCTCGAGGATTCGGGGAATAACGAACTGAGACTTTAAAGTGGTTTGGCCTTCATAATGCTAATACCCAACTGTTTTTAAAAATGTCTTTATCTGCTCTATTTCTGATCCTCGGGATCCTTGTGGGGCATCCGAGGTTCAGCATTTCACCCTTAAAGTCAGCGTAACTGAAAGGTTGCACGTTCACGTCTTAAAGTACTCATCTTTTTCTTTCCCCTTTTTGCAAAGGTTCAAGTGGAAAAGATCAAGAACCCAGAGGAGCACATCGGTGCAGTACTGGAGCGGGCCAAACCAGAATACATTCAGAAGACCTACCGCATCCCTACTTGGAACTGTGCTGATGACTTTCTTGAGAAACTGGCGTTTCGCACAGGGAAACTTTTGAAGGTTCATTTTCTTATTTAGAGGCTATACTTGAAAACTGCTTTGTATATTTTTCCCAAACATTTGCTTTATAAGTTCTGATGATATAAAAAATATATAATTTTATAGCTACAATGGAGCATTTTAACTCATTGTATGTGTAAGAGGTAATGGTTAAGGTTTATTTTTCAGCTTGGGTATTTATTGTGCTGTTTTTCTAGAAACAAGTGTTTTAATGCCTCTGTGTAGTTTTGTGGGGGAGTTAATGACTGCTGACTTTGCTGCAAAAGCAGGTTTTACAAACATTTTTCCCCTTAAAGTTGTGTTCCTACCAACTTCATTGTTGCACATTTCTCCCATGTATTTGAATTTAGGACTCTCCTTGAGCCTTATTTCTCTCTAAAAATGCTGTACTGTCTTGACATTTTCTCTGAAATATGGCGTAGGCAGAAATCTAGAGAAGGCAGGACTGAAACAAAAACAGCCCTCCCCCACTGAAGAGCTTGGGTCTTATGTATGTGCTGTGTATGCATTTAAAAAAGTTACATTCACTTCATTCTCCACATAGGACACGATGAGCTCTTATTTACCAGATGGAAACTCTCTGCTTAACTGATTGTACCGCCAGACTTTCTTTCTGCTTGGACTCTCTCCTTTCACTGCCAAATGTTTAAGTCTGAAAATAGAGTCCAGAAGAGCTGCAGGGCTACAGCTGCCTCTGAAACACTAGATATATATATATTTTTTTTTTAAATGTATTTATTTATTGCTGCCTACTTCAGCTTTAAATCACTAAGTCTTAAGATGTCTTAGCAATCTCTTCTTGTTTTTGTACAGGGCGGTGAGCCAGATCTCGCCACAGTCTCTAAAATGGTATTGAATGACTGGCAGAGAGGACGTATCCCCTTCTTTGTGAAACCCCCTGGACCTGAAGGAGATCAAGAGGTAAGATTACACTGAATTTCTCTCTAGGGCTTTTTAAGCGCACCAAACTGTGCCCTCGGTGTAAACCTGTTTTTATTGCTGTGTTTTCGCTAGGATGAGAAGCCACTGCCAGTTGCAGGACCGTCGGAGGTAGTAGAGCATGTACAGAAGGAACAACCAGACAATCCGGACGCCATCTCAGAGGAACGTGAGGAAGAACAGCAGAGACAGAAGGAACAGGTCCAGAAGATTCTGGCTAATGTCAGACAAAACTTTGGCAAAATCAGTGTGGCTCCAGAGTTCAGCGAGGAAGACTTAGTTCCCATGGACATGCCTGATCTGGACATGTCAGATTTTTCTGGCTCTGATGGTGAGGAAGATGAGGGCACAGAGGAAAACGAAGGCAAAGAGGAAGATGCGACAAGCGTTGAACCAGCTGATGAAGTGACTGACATCTCTGAGCCCACAACCTCTCAGACTGAAAAGACAAACGGCAGCAAGAGTTCACGGAAGGTCATACGTGAGCTGGATGTGAAAATCGCCAAGTACAAGCAGTTTCTGGACCGAGCCAAATCCAATCGCTTCTCTGCAATCCGGTCAGTCTGCTCAAGCCCAAACCTCACTCGCATATTTTCTTTGTCTTGTGTACTGCCACCATTGTGTTTCGTCCAGTAACGTAATGTGAAGTTGTCAGACATAGAGATGCCACGCATTTTAGGTGGTCCGTGCTAACCAGCCTTGAAGCTGCTGATGACTAGCAGTGATCATTTTGATGCCATAACGTTTGTGTCTTTTGTGTTCTTTAATGCTTGTGTTGAATTTCAGCACACACTGAAGAACAAAGTCAAGTAACCGCTGTATAGTTAATCTGAGCCTAATTTAATTACTGTTCATTTCAGCTGACCCCAACAGGGATAAACTGTTTGCCTTGTTTTGTAATGATTTACTTTTTTCCATTTCTTTGGACAGGATACCTAAGGCGCTTTCTGACAAAGTGTTCACAGACATCAAGACTAAACAGTCAGCAGCGACTAAGCAAGCACAGAAGAAAGGTAGTCAGTCAGCTTGTTTGTTATGACTTTGTATGGTTCTGGATGTAAAAATAATTTGGGAAAGGCTTTATCAGATGTGGTTAAGGTCCAATAAACCTTCTGCAGTTCCAACAGAATAATCAATTACTGATATTTATCAACTTGATATTTTGCACAAACTTTAGATTTGAATGGGTACGTCAGGCAGTGACATCAGATCTGTTCATCTTTCTTTGAATTCAGCTCCAAACCAGAGGGGTAAAAAGAGGAAAGCTGAGGAGGGTGAGGACCTGGCCCAGCCGAACAGACTCACGTCTAAACAGGTATGCGGTGTTTGTTCTCTCTGATGTCAAACAGGCCAGATTTCTCTGGTGAATGTTCTTCTTACTGATGTAACATTGGAAATGAAAAGCTCTGGTCTTTTTTTAGAAGAAGATTTCACTTTTTTTCCTCTTCTGTTTCTCTTTTCTTTCTCTACAGAGAAGAGCAATGGATCGTGCTCAGAGGACGAAGAAAGTTGGCGTACGTTATTATGAAACTCACAATGTGAAGAACAAGAACAAGAACAAAAAAATCCCAGCATCAGGCACAGAAGGTCAAAATACCAAGAAATCGAAGCACTAGACTGGAGTTGAATAAAATAAAACACACATGTAAGAAATATGTATCTAAATTAGCCTGAAGCTATTTTTATTGGGATAAAAAAAAGGTTGGCAGAAGGTGGAACACTAAGGTGGTCTTAATCAACTTGATGCCTTATCTTCATGACTGTTGTAACTTTGTCCCCTCAGTGCAGAACTGTATTTGAATGACATTTCATTCATCATATACAAGTGTACTGCTCTCTTGACGTTCAAGAGCAATGTGCAGTAGTTGTTTGAAGTGTACTTGTTATGCCAGGACAATAAAACATTTGTAAATTACACTAAGTTTTTACTTTAATGTATCATTAAGCAATAAGATGAATTACAAGTGAACACAATCTTGTACAGAGAAATGCCAGCTAAGTGTTTGTTTGTTTGTTTTTTTACTTCTTTGGTGCAATTATCTCTTCCAGTTGAGCCTGAAAAGAAAAAAGGGGTGGTTAAGAAATCTTTAGACAACACAATCTACAAGAATTATTCTCTAATATGTAATTGAAAAAGTCACCTTAAGCTGTTGGTTGGTTCTCTTTAGGAACTGGATCTCGTCATCGTGCCTCTTTTCCTCTAGCTGTCGCTTTTCAGCTTCTATCTTCTCAACTGTTTCACATTTAGCCTTCTCTTCATTCAGCGCCTTCTTCAGTTCTTGTTTCTCGTTCTCTAGCTCCAAAATCTGCCCGTATAACAACGCATACGTGTGAGTTTGTTATTGATGCAGGGTCAATCCTGTAAAAAGCACTGCAGCCACTCACTGTCATTGTACAGTAACTGTAAAATAGAGAAATTGTGCTCTCTGCTGGACTCCTAGCTAAATGACAGCTGAACTACATGAGTGGCGAAGTAAGTTTCCCAGCATCTATAAATTGCTTAGTATTAAAAATATATATATTGTGACCCTGTATTTGTAACTCATAAGGAACCTGATATCCTTACTCTGTTTTTCATATCAGCTTCGCCCTTCTTAGCCTGCAGTGCCTTTCTCATGCCGTAAGCTATGCTGCTTTCATACACGGTCTGGTAGGCAGCAATGGTCATCTGAATCTCATCTCTGACCAGCCACAATAGCATACCCCTCTCAGCGCAGTTGATGGTTACCTGTCTGAGTAATTCATCTCAAAAGAAAAAGAATGACAAAAAAACTTATGTGATTTATTGTATTTATGTGTATTGATTCTACCTTCTATAATCAGCAACATCTCAGCTTCTTCCTTACCAAAACACTGGGAATAGAGCTCCCTGCGGACAGGGCAGATTCCTGTTTCTTTGGCCTGTCTTTGCTGCAGTTTTGTGTTTAGGAGTTCTTCTAGGTGCAACACATCTGCTCTCGTACAAGGTGTACTGGATACTTTCTGCACCCACAGTTGGTTTCCCTCCATCCACTCCCTGTAAGAGGAAAATTTGTAAAGTTCTGAACTTGCTGAAGAACACGCTATGGATAGAAAAAACTCTACCTGGGTGGGAGGATTGAATTGAGGAGCTCCTCATTTTCCTGCTTAGTAGCCTCAGTAGATGCTGATTTTGGTTTAGGAGGTGGTGGAACAGGTGTAGAGTCAATGGGCTGCTGAGGGCTTACTTTCAAAGGGCGTCCCTGTAGTGACAGATGTTTCATAAACTATCAGACAAACATATTATTACCCTGATTTGATTTTTTAAATGACTGATACATTTTCGTAAATCTATTATAAAATACACCTTACAGAACCACCTTGTAACTGTGTATGCATGCAAATATATTAGTGGATGTAAGTATAATTGCATTAAGCTTTAATCAGACTCTCGGGATCTTGGATAGCATAACTTTTACATTAATCTCAAATCTATCCCTGAGACTTGTGCCATAAACACGGCTGGCTCGATAAACTCACCTTTGGTGATTTTCTGTCTGTGCTTTTGTTGACCAGAACTGGATTGTCGTATTTCAGCAGCGTGTCAGCTGGAGGAATCATTGTCGTTTACAATAGAGGAATAGAATAAACTTATACAGTAAAACCTGAAACTTCTTGGTCTAGCGTTTAGTTACATAAAGTTCACGCTCATTGTTTCGGTTGTCTTGGCAACAATGTCCGTTACGTTTTAATGTGTGCGAGCGGAATCAGCGCTTAGCTCCAGGAGTACAGGCTAGTGACACTTTTTTTTTTCAAAAATTCTTTTGAGATAAATGCATTTTTATCAGTATTTTAAAAAATCTATTTAAAAGAGCCAAGTGGGATGTTTGTTTGTTTTTTACTTTTACCACCTTGTGTATCTTTTACTTTTACTATGCCTTTTTTGTTTGTTTTGTGTTTACTGGCTGCATCAAGTAAAAGTAATGTGTGTTAAACGAATATGTAAATAATGAAAGAATGTACCAGCTTTTTCAATACACTAAATATTTAGGCTGTACAGGAAATAAACTGGCCGGCATCTCATGTCGGAACCAACGTGAGACATGGACACTGGCGGAGCTTAATTCTCGGTGAACCTCGGGAAGCGGAAGTGCGTGATCTCGGCGTAACGGGCGAAGTTTGTTACATGCCGAGGCTTTTGTTTTTTTTGCACATACAGTGGTGTGGTTGAAAATGTATGCTTTTTAGGTTATACAACGGTCGATTTGAGAGAATTATTTTAAGCATGGCCAAAGAGAAGCGACACAGGAGAAGAGAAAGTCCGGAGCGTGAAGCCGAAGTAAAGATAAAGCAGGAGAAACTGAGCCCTGCTAGGCCACAGAGATCACGCCGCTCCAGGTCGAGATCCCCCGGCAACTCCAGTCCACAGAGAGGAGGAACGAGTCGGTGTGTGCACTAAAGTTATCATACCACCTTAATTTTGCCACATGTGTCATATTGATCAACTTGACAACCGTGACAGAGTCAGTTTTTTTGAGTATATCGCTGTAGTACTTACTTGGGCTAGCTACAGCCACTAGTTGCATCTCAACGGTGGGAAATGTCGTGTGAACGGTCGCTTAATACTCTCTTGTGTTCTTCATTTAGGTCACCTGCAAGGACGAGGGACCGTTCACCAGGTAGAAGGGGAACCTCTCCCGCCAGAAGAAGCAGCAGATCTCCGAGAAAAAGGAGAAGCCGTAGTCCTCACCACGGGGATGTCAGAGTAAAGCGGGTGATTAGTTTCAAATTATTGGGAAACATTTTGCAATTCAGCAGCACCACTGGAGTGTAAAGTGATCTAGGTGGTATAAAGTACTCATCTGGAATTTACCACACAGAAGCTTGTGTAACCCAAGTGCTAGTCAGATAGTACTAACAGTCTGAGGCAGTCTGTTTTCTGTGTAGAGACCCAACATTGGTCTACAGTTGTCCCATTTTTAATGTTTTTCAGAGGCATCTGGCAGTAATGACAATATATGTCAAACAAACTAGAGCCCACTATTCCATACTGAAGGGTAATGCAGTACAACATAATTAACTACTCAAAAATGTAACTGTGTAAGTATTCTGTAAATATATGTCACAGGAACGGGATGAGCATAGAGCTAGCGGCGACGAGAGAAGAAGAAGAAATGAGCAACCAGAGGACAGACGGAGTAGGTGGGAATCTGATAGGCCACGGGAGAGAGAGCGCGGTGGGGAGAGGCATAGGGAGCGAAATGCTCTTGCCTCTCAACAAGCTGAACGACAGCAGCAAGATGAGAGACGCAGGGAAAATCGCCAGCGACGTGAAGAAAACCAAGAGCGAGACTTGGGGAGGTCAGAAGAAGAGGGTGATGAGGCAAGCGCTGCTCCTGCTGTGAAAGAGAAGCCAAACTTTGAACTTTCAGGGGCACTCACAGAGGACACAAACACATTTCGGGGAGTGGTGATCAAGTACAACGAGCCGCCTGAGGCTCGGATTCCGAAGCGCCGATGGCGACTGTACCCTTTCAAGAATGATGAGGCTCTTCCAGTCATGTACATTCACAGACAGAGTGCCTATTTGTTGGGGCGACAGAGAAGAATTGCTGATATCCCGATTGATCACCCATCCTGCTCCAAGCAACATGCAGTATTCCAGTACAGGTAGGAAGAACAGTCATCAGCACATTTTTATTTATTTTTTTACTCTAGTTTTCTTTTTGTTTGAAAAACATGCTCGATCTGTGGTGATTACTATTTACTATTGTTGTTGTCCAATATGTTGAATGACTCTTTAGTCGTGATCCCCATTTGCAAATAGATCATGTCCACCATTCTGTCTTCATTTCTGCAGACTGGTGGAGTTTACGCGGGCAGATGGCACCACGGGCCGGAGGGTAAAGCCTTACATTATTGACCTTGGCTCTGGCAATGGCACTTATCTGAACAACCAGCGTATCGAGCCCCAGCGGTACTATGAACTCAAAGAAAAAGATGTCATAAAATTTGGCTTCAGCAGCCGTGAATACGTGCTGCTTCACGAGTTCTCAGACACAACCGAGGTAGACGCCAAGCAGGAAGAGGAAGACGAGGGCCTTGATGAGTAAATTGTTCCAAAGTACTTGATTGCCGAAGTTCATTCAGGTTAGATAATATCATCATCAAAAACAACAACAGAAAAAGAACTGTTTCTGCAGGGAATGGAGCAATAAGTTTGAACTGGTAAATGCAGGAACTGATTTAAATAATGGAACAGGATTTGTTGGTGTATATTGTGTAATTACTGATCTCTTGCTTGAACCTGCCACAGCTGTCTCAAAGAAGACTTTTTCTCAGGTTGTATAATGTCTATGTGATAAGTGACGGATCTTACATCTCACATTGCTCGCATTACATTAAGATGTGCTCAGTGACAGATAAAGATATCTCACCAATCTATAGTTATATATTCTATATTTTTTTTGCACCACAGCACTTAGTGCAAAGCATAGCTAATTGTCTATGTCCATGCTATATGTGTCAGTGTACATTACATTATTGGAATGTGAACTCTAGATTCATGTTTAAAAAGCATTTTTATTGTCAGAGTAAACATTGCAGTATAAGATGTAAGGATATTTCCTTTTCCTTTTTTTGTCTTTGCTTGTAGTGCAGGAAAAATTATTAACGCTGTTGTGTTCCCTCGCACTACTGGAATCTGTATGCACCATTCTTATTTTTGCCCATTCATAGAAGTTCATAGTAAATTTTCATTTTTGTACTGTAAATAAAATTTTGAAGAGTTTTATTGGAGCAAACTGGTGTCCGTTTGTTTCATAAAATGTCCCGTTTTAAGGAGGACAATAGGCACCATAATTATTTAACAAGTGGGTAATACAATTTGTTTATGATGATTTTAGCCTTTTAATTACAGTACTCTCTAATAGTCATCATCATTTATTTATATAGCACTTTTAAAACACACCTGGTAGACCAAAGTGTTGTACAATATAAATATAGTAATAGCAAAAACCAGAAATAGCAATAAAATTAATTTAAAAAAAATGTCAGTCACCCACAGACTGCAGGGAATGAAAATAGGCTTTTAATCTGGACTTAAAAACTGGCACTGATGTAGCTTCTCTAATATGGAGAGGAAGGCTATTCCAAAGCATTGGAGCCGCAACAGAGAACGCTCGGTCTCCTCTAAGCTTTAGCTGTGACTTTGGGACTGAAAGCAACAGTTGCTCAGCTGACCGAAGCAAACGAATAGGGACACGAGGCCTCAACAAATCAGACAAATAAACTTGTCCCTGTCCAACCCCTATTAAAAGAGAATTGCAATAATCCAAATGTGAAGTATCCCTTCATTTCTTTATATTGTGCTAGGAAAATGGGTGCAACAATTTACTGAAAGACATGCAAAAAAAAAGTACAGTAAGGCAAAAATAGTTTGTACAGTTCTGTACTATTAAAAGTCGATACTTGATAGAACCGCCTTTATTCCCCAGCACAGCAAAATCTCTTGACACTTCTTTAAGCAGTTTTCTAGGCCTCTTGAAAGACTTCCCTAAGTTTTTCTTTGTATGTTGCCTGCCTTTTGTTTGACAACATTGAGGATCTGGCTCTGGGGAGGCCGATCCATGAGTGGGGAGTGGGGTGGGTGGGTGGGGGGGGGTCACAAGTATACTTGTGACATGTGCAATGACAATAAAGTTGAGTTCTATTCAATTCTATTCATTTTTTTAAAAGTACAGCGTACTTACAATGTAAGATGTCGAAATGATGTTTATTTTTCCGCTAAATAACCAGGAAATTACACTGTAGGCTACTGCTTGTGCTTGTGCACTACATAGATTACAGTATATTTTTTTCCTTGTTTCCTGGAAAAATTACTCGTTGCTCCCTTATTCTGCTATACCTATCTTTAAATATTTATTTATAATTACTTTCTAATTTCAAATAAAACACGCTGAAATTCCATTTAATCACGGGGAAATTACGCCCTTGGTAGTGTGCCGTATTATAAAGTGCTACCAAAATGACTGTAGATTTCAGAAATCCTTCTAAAATAAATAAAAGAATCTCATGAATCACTTTGTTATGTTCTGTGCTTTTTTGTGCTAATAATACATAATACCTGTATAATAAAAAATACCACCTAAACTCACGTGCGCCATACAAATTGAAAGCTGCACACTCCGTCATCTGAAAAGTAAGTCCATGTGGTCTGCTGGTCAAACACCCACAACTGCGCCATCACCGGAGCGCCAAGGGTGCTCTGTTGACACTACATTGGGACTGCGAGAATTTTGTTTTACTTAGACGTCTCAGACTCGTGCTCCTCATAGAGGACAAGAAGGACTTGCTGGGTCCTACTGCAGAGGTCATGCGAGAGTATAGGTGAATATCCTCATAACACCAGCGGGCGGAGCAGGGCAGAGCCGACGTGGGCGGGTCAAATGGAGACGAGCTCTGGGAATGTATGTGGTAAGAGATCGGATCTACCTTGATCAGCGGTGCTGTTATGTTGCTATTGGAAGTCGTCCCTACTAAAGGGCATGCTTTGAGCTTTAGCTGCGGAACAAACGCGAAGTAAATAATGTACACGACAGAGCGCAGGCGAATGAGCCTGCGAGACTCAAAGAGGAAGGATCCAGTACGGGTGTCCGCTGGAAGTTTGTGGCAGGACTCTTTGGCGTTAGAGCTGAGCGCCAGCAACGGCTCGGGTAAACAGATCGTTTCTCCGCGTAGTCGAACCAGAGCGGTGTCAGTGGCATACATTGTCAACGAGGACGCGTCAGTGCCGCACACCGAAGAAAACTTATCACTAAAGTGTCTGAAGGAAGCCTGCGCGGACGCACACGCTCTTCTCAAAACGATTTCATTTGACAGAATTTCCCAAGGCACGACAGACATTCTGGATAGTTTCTACAATGCAGGCAAGTGACGGCATGCAGACTGTAGGGTAATGTAGCGGATATATGAGCACAGAATCATACCAAATTACGCAAGTTTACTTTTATAATCCCCCCTTACAGATGTTGCAGTGGTGGAAATGAGCGACTCCTTTTGCCAGCCTTCCCTTTTCTACCATCTTGGAGTGAGGGAAAGTTTCAGCATGACTAATAACATCATTCTGTATTGTTCTAAGCAAGATAGTGATCTGCAAGCTCATAAGGTAACACATGCTCCCATTTATTGTTACATATTGTTTATTGTATACAGTCTCATGTGCTGGAAATGGAAAATAGTTCAACAGGCTTTGCTTTATTACTGCAACTACGGTGGGATATTTTCCTGAAGGGCTAAAATATTGTTGTATCTACATTTGATTTAGAGATGGAGCTTATTTAACAGCAAAACACCCGTTAGGGTTAAAACTTTAATTTGTGCATTGTACTTAATGTGAGTAAGAGACATGGAGCCAAAAATAAAAAGCTATAGCAATTGTTATGCAATATAAAGCAAACTATGGCTGCCATTAATTCATGTTTTCATTACTGAATAAGTGTACATATTACCTTGTTAAAATAATTTCAGTGCATTCATAACAAAGCTTTAGCCTTGAAGTCATTTGTGCAACACACTTGTGACTGCTTTGTCTAGTGTCAAATGATGCTGCGGTTCCATTGTGGTCATGCAAGCTGTCCCAGCATGATATTTGATGCATCTATTGTTGTCCTGCAGGAGCAGTGTGGAAGTGACACCTTCATCCCATATGTAGTGTCACCTCAGGGCAAAGTGTTTGCCTGTGACGTTGCCATGATGACTTGTATCAAAGACCTGATGCAACCTAGTTTCCAGCTGGAGCCGCTGCTCATCCCCCTGGTTGAGAAACTGGTGCACCTGCTGAACAATGTGCACATTCAGTCCAGGTCAGACATAAACTTTAGCAGGGTGTGGTTAAACATTATTACTTATTTAAACATTATTATACAGTGAATGCATGTTCTTGAGCTTCCCACGTATGCAATGTCACTTAGCGTGTTTACAAAGGATTGTGAAATTGTGGAATGTAACACCAACACTGGACTATCTGCTGACAGTGAGTACTTCCGGGAGTCAATTAGGCATGAGATTCGCATGGCACGGGAGCGGTTCAGCGGCAGAGCCTTGAGCGAGGAGTTAAACCACATCCAGCAACGCCTGGATAGTGTAGATCTGCTTTCTCCAGATATTGTAATGAACCTATTGTTGTCCTACAGGGACGTTCAGGTATGCATTTCTAAATCTGTGTGTCTAAACTAGTGATTATTTATTAACACATTATTTTATGTTATTGAATTAAACAAAACAGCATATTGTTGTCAGAACTCAAACAGTTTTAACATTATTATGATCATATGATTGCATATCTGTTTAGCCATATTTCATTATAAAAGAGCTACTGTCAATCTGGGAGCCTTCACAAGTATTTGTATCAACAAAGAAGATCAGATTGTGTGTTTAGTGAACATATGAGCATTAACAAAAATACCTATGGGTGTGAAATTATTCACAATTGTTTGTAAATAGTAATATTTTTTATATAATAAACTTCAATGTAAATTATTAAAATTGTCAGGTGTGATTCAAGCATGATAATCATTATATTTCACTCTCTTCCACTTTTTCTCAGGATTACGATGCCATGATAAAACTGGTGGAGACTCTGGACAACCTGCCTATGTGTCAGGTGGCGAAGCATCAGAATATCAAGTTTCACTATATATTTGCTCTAAACAGGTACCAACTTGACTGCTATTGTATCTTGAGCTTGTCAGTATAGTTCTGTTGACATCTTTGGTTCACACTAGGTGCTTTTGTGTCATTGTCAGCTTGCAGAGATCTTTTAGAAAATTCATATTCACCCAAGATATGAAGTTCTTTATCATCACAGTGGTCTGTTATGACATATACCCATCCTAGGAGGAATCAGCCCGGAGATCGTGAAAAGGCTTTGAAAGAAATTCTGCCGATTGTGGAGTCAGGGAACAAGGTGGCATCAGACGTCTACTGCCTGTGTGGACGCATCTACAAGGACATGTTTATGAGCTCAGCATTCACTGATGAGTCCAGCAGAGACCAGGCCTGCTATTGGTACGCCAAGTTTGGCCATACAAAGATTTCCACATTTAAGAAAAGTGGCATTTATGTCATGTTTTCCAGACTGTTTCTTTTATATAACTTGCCAGGTATGGGAAAGCCTTTGAGACAGAGCCAACTCTTCACTCAGGCATCAACAATGTGGTCCTCCTAATAGCAGCTGGCCATGAATTTGAGACGTCTATAGAGTTGCGCAAACTAGGTGCTTTCTGTTTTTTACCTTTCCATCAGAGAAAACTTAATGTCTGTGGATTTATTGTGTCATGCATTGAATTTGATCCTTGAAATTCATTTTTTTGAAGTTTTAAATGTCTGAGATGATGTGCAGTGCCAGAAAATATATTATTAGGATTCATCATAAGCTCAGTCAAAATGAGATTAATACTAAACAGTTATTAGTTGTGTTTTAAAACGTATTTCCTGTTACAAAAACTTTGAAAAGTAGACCATGTCATTAGTGCGATAAATGTTCAACTGAGCCATAGGATATGAGTCACGTAATTGTAATACTCATTAATCCCAGTCAGTGAACACTGCACCTTTATGAATGGGGAGATTGTCATCCTGGAAGAGAGCACATCCTGGAAGAGAGGATAGAAATGTTTGCTTTTATTCTTGTCTCCAACTTGTCAAATATACCCCAAACTGTCCCAGTAAAATGCCACAGCTCACAGAGCCACCAGATCCTATCACTGCAGGAAGTAAAAATTAAGTTGTTTTTT